ATTTTTGTTTTGAATGTTTAAAAATTAGTTATTGTTGCCTACCAGTGGTGGTGCACGCCTTTAATCTCTGCACTAGGGAGGCAGAGACAGGTGGATATCTGGGAGTCTGAGGCCAGTCTTGTCAGAATAAGTCCCAGGACAGCTAGGGTTACACAGAGAAACTCTGTCTTGAGAGAGGGGAATAATTTTGTGTTAAGTAGGAGCTCCAATGATATGTTCCCAGTGAAAGGGCAAACTAATTAGACAAAGCTATTTAAGTATCTTATAAGGACATGAGAGAGAAAAAGACTCATCAAGCTAGAATGTTTACTAAGTTGTGTGATAAAAAAAAGCTTCATATAATAGAGAGAGGTGGTTCTTGGCATATATGTATTCCAGAACATTCCTTCATATTCTTTGATAACATTAGTTCCTGGCTCATTCTTTCTTGCTTTTTTTGTGGTCATTGTGTGATGACCTCAACATACTCACGGATATTCAAACAACACTTGTGCCTGTTTTCCTGTCTTCCTAAAATCCATCCTGCCCTCCATCCAATCCAGCTGTAACTGTAGAGGAGAGTCAATGGGTTTTGGCCAGATATCTGCTTCAACTCCTAAACCCAGATTTCTTTTGAACTATACCAGTTGTCAGTCAGATGGTATTTATGGAGAATTGACTCCAACATGTCTACATGCAATAGTGGCTGACTCTAGCAACGGTAACTGGGTACAAGGTGCTTTTGTTATTGGTGAAGGTCAAGATATCCTAGGGAAATGCAGCATTGAGGAAAAATCAATAGCAGCCTTTATAAATGTCATTTAAAATGCCATTCAAAACTAGTATAAAGGTTAATGGTATTTTGTTTTGGTTGTTTCAAAATATATAATTAGATTAAATAGAAGCTACAATGGCATGCTCCCCGTGAAAGGACAGAACAATTAGCCACAGGTATTTAAGCATCTGGTAAACATATGAAGAAAAAAGGATTCTATTAATCAAACCAGAATGCCTGTCAGGTTGTGTGCTAAACCCCCTCTCTACATAAGCCAGGGAAATGGGCCGTTTTTATAGATGTGAGATTCAGTAAAGGCAAGAGTTAACAATGAGCACTTGGGTCAGCAGTGGTCAGGACAGAGGGTGGCAAATAAGAAATGGCTAACAAGTGACTTTTTTTTTTTTTTTTTTAGGAAGCCAGGGACAGCCATAAAGTATTCTAAGGAGTTAAGGACAAACTCAGAAGACAAGTTCAGATATGCCAGGGCATTTTGAAACAAGGGCTTAAAACTCTTCTTGGGTGGTGGTGTCTCTTTGGTAACCATGGTGAAGTTGGAAGAGCTCAAACACTACGTGTCACAGATTGCTTAAGAATGACTCAATACTGAACCTCTTGCCTTTGGTGAAATTCATCTTGAAACACTTGAGTCAATTTGGAAATATATGCGTAGAGACTTCAGTCACTGTGGTTCGGTTAGAGCTTTTTAAGACAAGACAATCTCTAGTGTTAAAAAAGAAAGACAAAAGATAAAAGTGACACGTAACAATGTGAAGGCCAACATGTCACTAGAGAAACTTGGATGTCCTAAGTGGGGTTGAATCACAAAATTCTGTCGATTTCTCCAAATCATTCTTGTATCCAAGGTTATGTATATGTGTGGACTCCGTGAAGGAGTTCATGCTCACTCACTTTTGGGTGGTCTGAGCCTCTAGGGAGGGTGTTATGTTATCACTTGAACATCCTTCAGAAACTGATGCTAACACTGTCTCAACAACTCCTTTTGAATTTCCTGGACCTCAAGAAGTTTCTCCCTTCTCTTTCCTCATTGAACCCTCTGCTCTCGAGTCCCTGCCGATGTTTAGGGGACAAGAAAACAAAGGTAACTGTCATGTCTTTTAATAAAGAAGATAGTGGCTTCTGTGGAGAATGAGGACATCTCTGGTCTTGCCCTAAGTACTAGCCATGATTCTATGCTGCCTTCTAGGATGGATTTTGTTACTGTTAACTACAGTGATGTTGTTGCCATATCAAAAACAAAATGATCTGAGTTCTGTGTCTGAGAAATGAACTCACATGAGGTGCTAATGAAAAAAAAACTGTATTATTTTACCAATAAACAGATAATTTGAATAAAAATATTCTATGTTGTTCACATTTGGGTAAAGAAATGCATAAATCCAGATAAAACTATTTTTTTCAATTTCCAGGGAAGGGCTTAGTGTTGGTGTTTGTAGCAAGATAACTATTAGTTAATGTTCCATTGCTCCAACAGTGATTTTAGGCGACCCCTGTGAAAGGGTCCTTCAACCCCCATTCACTAGTCCTTGTTAAAAACTGTTAGATTACATTCCACCAGGGTCTAGTCCTTTATTTGGCCACTTCTTCCACTGAGGCTAACTACCAAGGTCCAGTTATCAAAGTATTGAAGCTAGAAAGCTTGGTTTTTTGAGACAGGGTTTCTCTGTGTAGCTTGGAGCTTATCCTGGCACTCACTCTGTAGACCAGGCTGGCCTCGAACTCACAGAGATCTGCCTGCCTCTGCCTCCTGAGTGCTGGGATTAAAGGCATGAGCCACCAATGCACGTCCAAAAGCCCCCTTTGACTTGCCTAATTAACATGCCTAAACAAAACAAACCAATTCATCCTAACATGGGCTTTTCCCCCTTTACCTTTACAAACTGTCATTTGCCTATGGGCCATGTCTGTCTCCTCTCTATGCAGAAGCAGTCCTTTGTCCCTCTGGGGCAACTACCCCTCCTCTCTTTCCCTTGTTCTTTTCCCTTCTCCTTAATCCTCTATCTCCGATCTTTGTCTCTGATTCCCTTTCCTTTGTCCCTTGAGGGCAAATAAATCTCTTTTGTGCTGATAACTTGATCAGGAGTGTCTTATGCTGGATACTAGATACAGGTCCCTTCAGGGGTTGTGACCCACAGGTTGAGAACCACTGTGCCACAACATCAGGGAGAGGCCCTAACTTATGAAATTTGTTTACTTCTTGAGTCATAAGGGTCTTTTCCTATTCAGAGAAAATGGCTGTGCAACAGGAAGGGAGCTATATCCTCAGTACTAGAGGAAACATAATCCCATAGAATTAGCATCGCACTTTCTTACTTTCTTATAGGATAAAGATATAATCACTTAGGAAGAAGGAACAATTGAAAAATTTTCTCTGTGGAATTGGCAGGTGGGGCATGTCTCTGAGGCATTTTATTATTCCTGTTTTTCTGTTTTCTTTGCGTGTAAGACATTTTCTTATTTGCTAATGGGTGTATGGGGCCAATCCCATTGTGGGCAGTGTCATTCCTCGGCAAGTGTGCCTGAGCTGTGTACAAAAGCTAACTGAGCAAGCCAAAGGGAACAAGCCACTAGGAAGCATTCCTCCAAAGTCTGGTTCAGTTCCTGACTCTAGGTTCCTGTCTTTCTTTCCCTCAATAAGAGATTTTAACCTATAACCCAAATGACTCACAGAAGTTGCTTTTGGCAATGGTGTTCCATAGCAACAGAGGTAAACTAGGGCACCAACTAACAAGAACTTCCAGGCACCTTGAGAACCTCTTAGCCAAGGAGTTCCTGACCTTGTATTGTAAGGGCAAGCTATTCAGGGGAGAACCAGGCCTAGTTGATCTATGCCACCCTTCCTCATTTGTTCCATGAAAGATGGGTGTCATTCTCTTAGTGAATGACACCCTTAGTGTCTGCTTTATTCTGTCTTAGCTGGAGGCATAGGGTCAGCGCAGCAGATTTGGGAAGAGCCTACTGTGGTCATGTGAAGGGGGTTCCATTCATCTTTACTCTCACTCTGCCAATGTCTAGGAAAAGTATTAAACATTACAGACAAAATGGACTGGAAAATATCTGTTACTATTGAGACAAAACAAGGCAAAGATAAGTGTAAAGAGGTAGTTATAGGGTATTGAATGTAGGATGGGATCACCCCTTTCAACACTGTTGTATGTGTTCAAATTCCAAATGGTACTTTGCATTGTTGTAGTTGGCACAATGCAGAGGGGATACAGTGTAACTGTTAAGTATTTATGTAAATACTCTGTGTATGTGTGTAACACATACAACTGAGGTATTCCACAGAAAAACAGCAACTGAAAACAAAAGAAAAATCAACAAATAAAGAAAAACCCAAACCAACTGTCTTGAGTATGTGTCAGGAAGATGAAAACTACTAAGATAGAAATATTTCAGACCTGGGGAGGTGGGGGAGGGAGGGAGGCAGAATGTGTTTGCCCAGCATGCACAAAACTCCTGAGTTTGGGCAACAATACAGAGGAAACCAGATCAGAAGTTCAAGTCATCTTTGGCTACATAGTGATTTTGAGATCTTTGTAAGATATATATGAGACCCTATCTCAAAACAAAACAAAACCAGCTTCAGACAAAAAAAAAACACACACACACACACACACACACACACACACACACACACACACACACGGTCTGTTAATAATCTAGAATCTAGAAAAAAATCCCTAGGAAATTTTATAAGACCGTATTTATAGTTAGGCATAAGGAATTACACTTGAAATCTTAACACTTGGGAGGCCAATGCAGGAGAGCTGAGAGTCCAAGGCAGGCTAGTAGGACTACCCAGTGAGACTTCATCTAATATATATATACATATTAGATATTCATCTAATATGTATATATATATAATTATACACAAAATATATTATATTATACACAAAAAATAAAGAAAATTAAATGTCCTCAGAACAACTAGAAATGCAGTACTTGATTCTCTTTCTAAAGTTTAACTAAAATAATGACACCTTTAGGAAAAACAAAACAAAAAACAAAAATCTTCTGCATGACGCAAGGATTATGATTATACACAAGTCCTGATTTAAGGCTTCCTGAAACTCACTCTTTTTCTGCACTGAGAAACCCATGTCTGTTCTGTCCTGTCAGAAGTGGCCTTTATTTTTGTCAGGGTTATTTTTACCCTTGGAGACATCGCCCCCTGCTGTACTAGATACTTAACTGCAAAAAGGATGTGGAAAAAAGACAATTATTAAAATGAAAGAGACTTTATTTTGGATAACATATATAATAGACATTCCATTTAATATTTATAGTGCATAGTTATGTATAAAAGCATACAAGGGGAAAACATTAAAAAATACCCCATGATGGGAGTGTACAGGCAAGAAGACAGTCCGTGTCTACAGCAAGCTCAGAGGTAGCGAGAGAGAGTTTCCATCAGATAAGAGTAAAAATCATGCAAACAAGTACGGCACGGCAGGCAAGTGACGTCAGCACAAGCTATAATTCCCTGGGTATAAAATCTATGCATATTCTTTGGATTTCAAAGAGAACTAAATGAATAGTCTGGTTTTATGTTCTAGACAAAAAACAAAAATCTCTAAGAGCAAAGTTTGCATATTGTTCTGCCACATACATATAAAACATTCAAGGCCTTAAATGGAGGTTACTAGAGGAAAAAAGAGAACACTGAGAGGTCAAGTAAATACAAAGAAATGCAATAAGAAGAAGTCTCCTTTGCCTCAAGAAGGAGTTGCAAAGGCTTAGGCACTGGAACACCCACCATGCACCACCACGGGCATCTGCCACAAGGAACTCACTGAGCCTGGTCACGGTTCACGAGACAGGCTAAGTGCAGAGTGTCACACCAGGAACCATCATCTAATGTCTTTTCCATTTTCCATATGAATCAAAGCACAGGAGCCAACATGTTCATCTTTCCCAGGACACTAACTTTTAAGTGATACATATTATTTGGCACTAGGGGGTCTTCCATTATAAAGATCGATTAAATTCAAGCTTCCGGACTCAAAGATTTCATGTGTGGAAAGGAAAACTACAATTCTTTACTTTTTTTTTTTAAATCATAGGCTTAAAGCAGTAATTTAAAATTACAGTGGACAAAAATCCATAAGGTTAAAACAAAGAAAAATCTTGGACAAAATCTTCTGGTTTGCTACATAGTTTTTTTTTCCTTTTATTATTTTTTCAAATTGCATTCTCTCATGAAATGCAGGCCACTATGGATAGCTATGGCTCAATCCTGCTCAGTGCTTCCCTCCTAAGACATCATCTTCTTGCATTCCACGGAACAAAAGACCATCCCTTCTACAGGCATGAACCTCTGCCCGATAAGACACTTGCTACAGCAGGAGCACAGGAAGCACTCTGTGGATGCATGCCAGCTGAAGTTGTTGTAGGTCACTCTCTGCACTTCCGGGTCGATGGCATTGTGGCATCCTTGACACACCTGTTCGGGAAAACAGTAAGTAGAAGAGGGTTAGAGAGCGACCGTGTCAGCCATACCGGCACCTGAGGGCAAGCTGAACCTGAGTCTTCAGATGTTAAGTTTGAAAATGATATTAAAAAATTACACAGGTGACAGTGACATCTTCATGCACTATTTCAGCCAGCAGGGATGGATATATGCCGAGCAAGGTGAGAAACAGCAGGTAAAGGGCAAACGGGTGGAAGATGCTCCTAAGATGGCCCTATGGTGACATAAATGGGGCGTTGTGACAGGAAATCCAGAAGCACTGCATTTGGCTCCTGTTCATTTTATTGGATTTTATAAAAGTCATTAAAAGGAAGTTTATAACACTATTTTCCCTCACCCACTGAAGCTCTGAAGTGGTAATTTCATACCTATGGCACACGGACATGTCATAGCTACGACACGGATTATTAATGCCACTAATTTCTAGACAGCAGTAAATTAAAGTCATTTTCAAAGTAGTTAGGGATTCAATTAAAACTACTGACAATATTTGAGAATAATGAGTTCCCGCCATCAGCATAACTTCGAGTTACTTTAGCTTCCATTCTGCCAGAAGATCAGTCATCTATGCCATGCACTTCAACACTTTCACCCCCTGCACCACTCAGCTTGTGTTTTATGCACAAGGTTTCAGGCTGGCCCCAAATTCCCGTCACTTCTCCCTCCATCTCCCAAGTGCTGTGACGATGGGTCGGCGCCATCATGCCTGATCTATACGGTTCTGGGGATCAGACCCAGGGCTTCCTATACACTGTGCAAGTCCTGTACTAACTGTACTCTATTCCCAGGCCATCATTCAGTGCCCTATGTATGTCATACTCAGATATACAAATGAGGCAAACACATGAATACATACACACAGCACATGAGTATTCTAGCTGAACATATATATATATAAAGAGAGCAAACTACTATATTGTATCAGGAAACGTATTTGAAAAGTTCAAAGCTACATACATGTGCAGCCAGGACCCTTGGGGGGGGGATGCCCGTTATCGAAGTGTGCCTGGCAGTGCAGTTCCTGTGTTCATAAACCTCACACAGCTCAAAGAGCTATTTCCCCAATCTGTTCTGCTGCTTTTATATGAACACAAGATGTGCAGTAGCTAATTCTATTTGTTGTATAGGCTCTCTGGCAGGTGGGCCCGGTGAACTCCCAGATCTGAGTCCTGGGATTCCAACACATAGAGGTTTCTGGCCATCTCATGCCTCCTCCTAGTTAACGTTTAGCTCAGAAATCCCTGTTTAGACTGAGGACATTTCTACAGGTCTAAAAAATAAATTTTCTCTGTCACTTTTTTAAAAATATTAAAGTATCTATACAAATTAGCACTGAGTGAAGTGATCTCCAAAGATTTGCATCATGTAGTATGCTGGGCGCTTAACCACATTTCCTGTGGGGATGAGATAAAGATACCTTGTTTTAATATTAGGCAAAGCTAATGGTTTACTTTACTGACAAAGTAACTCTTCTAAAAGAAACAATGGGGTATTACAAAATTAAATGATTCTATTTCAAAACTGTTTCTTTTTCAAGCATATTAACTATTATATTTATTATTGTGATTAGACACAATAATATGGAGAAGAGGTTTCAACAGGAGGGAGCAGTTTCATCTGCTTAAACCTTGACTAAGCACATAATTATGGGTATCTGTGTTGTTGCTCAACAGTTGGGAACAGAGAAAACAATGCTTGCCCTCATGTATTTATATTTAATTCTTAAAAAAACAAAAAAGATCACACATCCTACAAAAACTGCATATTATGATATCATTCTTCTGTACAGAAAGCTACCAACATTTTAGGTTATATAATGTATTAATACATATAGTTATTTAATAACATGTTCTAAGAAAAGGAAAGTCCAGGGTTAGCCTCGAACAAATGAGAAGAGAAAAACAAGTTAGGTGTACCAGTATTTCCCAAATGAAGATACTGAAGATAAAGAGATAAAAAGGCATGCTCTACTTTCCAGCTGCTACACACACACACACACACACACACACACACACACACACACACGGACGTGCACACAGGAACATAAAGAGGCTAGTCAGAGGGAAAGAGGTGGAGTAGGGAACCAGAAAAGGTGTTGTGAAAAATGAGTCTGGGGTGAAAGCATTAACATTTTAAAATTGACAGATATTTTTCTAGGACAAATATTAATGCTTTCAGCCAAGTTGCTTCTAACAAAATATACTGCTAATGTGTCTAATTCTTATATTTCCACAAACTCTAAGGATTCTTGTAAGTTCCAGGGAGTTGAATTGGATCCAAACAAGCAGGTCAGATTCACTCCAGTTATTCAATCTTTCCCTGGCTCCAGGACTCCCTTCCCTCATGTTGGGACTCCTCGGGAAGCTCATCTTACAATCTTTCCCTCAAGTGACAGGACCTAAGAAAACAATTCTTTCCTAAACTTAACCTTGTGCTCTGCTCTGTCAACATCTTGCCATGTCTAAGAGGTGCTAGGGAGTTCCATATAGCCTGGACTGCTATGAAACAACCAGCGACCCCAGGACGTGGCAGCACCCCAAGCTTCTCAGGTCCCCCAAAGATGGTCAAGGCCCCCATGTCAGCAGGAAGCAGTCTTGAGAATTTGATGCCCTTATTCCTTATTCTGCCATGTCTAACACCCCACTTTTTTTTTTTTTTAATAATAAGTAAAGGTGGGATTGAAAGATTCAGGCATTATGCTGGCCTGCCCTTGTTACCTGGCAAAACAGGCAGTACCTGGTCAGCCCAGGGTTCTATGGGAACTAAGTGTGCATGCAGGTGCAGAGGACCCCTTTAAAATACAGACCCCTGCCCATTTACTCTCTCTCTCTCTGCTCTTCTCTCTGCTCTTCTCTTCTCCCACCTATGCCTGCACACTCTCTCTATTTCAACTGGCCATGGTGGTCAGCCATTTACCCTGTTTCTCTTCTCTCTTAGTCTCCCTATAATAAACTGGTTAATATGTCAAAAAAAATGAGTCTGGGGAAACCCGTAGGTGTGTATATAAAACAAGTAATAGGTGAGAATGAGCAAAAGGCAATGGATGTAAGAACTAAAGCAGGAAGTTACACGCCTTGGGAATGTATAATTTGGGTTAGATAACTACAACAAGCAGAGGGCAAGTCAAGAAGGGTGGGTGCATTAAACAAAGGCCTGGGGTCACGCCTGCATTTGGGTAATATCATCTGTCATTGTCACGAAGATGGCTTTTACACAAGATGACTATGGGAAGCAGTGGATGATTTGTGATGACACTAACTAAATTTACAAACAAGGAAGTCTGAATTAGTGCTGTCTTCAGGATCTGAGGTGGACTGACAGGGCAATGTGGAGAGAAAATGCCTGAGGTAATGAGTCAAGACTGAAGATGGGTAGACATCAAAACTTGCCTTTTTGTCAAAGAACCGTACTTTTAAAACTGCATAGGCACACGTTTCCTTTACCCAGGAGTTTCCCCTATGTACTAGCTTAGGGGGACCTAAAACTTAAAAAAAAATAAAATAAAAAATAGTAGGAGCCTATCGTTCTGATACTCCTGGCTTACGAGCCTGACTATATATGGTCATCTTTTCACCCTGTATCTACATTACTATCTCTTGGCTAGCATGAAGCAACAGCTCTGTGTAACACGATGGATGCAATAAAAAAATACATTCCCACATCAAGCACCTGAATGGTTCACACAATAAATCTAAAACTACAGGCCAATTTTTGTTGTACTAGATCAACTCCATGAGAGTTTAAGAAACAGTCACTGAATCATTTCCAGGAAGCTAAACAAGTGGGTAAGTTAGTAATGTACACAGAAACCATTTTTTAAATTTTTTCCAATGTATTCATTTTAGTATTTTACGTGCATTAGTGTTTTGCCTGAAATATATGTCTGTGTACCATGTGTGTGCCTAGTGTCTGAAGAGGCCCAAGAGGATATCAGAACCCCTGGGACTGGAGGAACAGACAACTGTGAGCTGCCATGTGGGTGCTCAGAGTCAAACCTCAGTCCTCTGGAAGGGCAACAAGCTCTTAATTGCTTAACTGTCTTAATTGTTGAGCCAACTCTAAAGCCCCAGAAACCATTTTAAATGGAATCTGATCTGTGGTAGTAAGAATAAATTCATTTCTATTAAGGGTATTTTTAAGTTAGGAATTTATTGGCAAGCATCATATACAATCTACATGGCACATGCCCAGGCAGCCAGTGCATTTACGGCTCTTGAACTGGCTGGTTTTAAATCGCCTATGAAGAAAACACACGCGCTCTCTCTCTACTAGGTTGGCTCTCGACTTCCCACTTCTAGGAGGTCTAAGGAAGACGCAGAAACTGAAGCCCCTAACGGGCTGAGGCAAATGTGTCCCTGTGCTTCTTACCACAGCATGGTTCTTCACATAGCAGGGCTTGCACACAGGCTTGTCATTGACCATCACGTATATTTCTCCTGCCAAGATGTTGTCACAGTCAAAGCAGCAGAAGTGTTTCAGGTGCCAGTTCTGGTTTTCGGCTTGGGTATACTCATTGCTGAATATCAGCTGGCCAGAGGAGAAAAGAAAATCCATTAGGCCTATTTTTTTCTTCATGCCACAGTGACATGAACTTGGGTTCTTCAGACAGGCATTTAAGTCGACAAGAACAAATGCCTTCTTGGGGCTCAACAATTGAAAATGGTAACATTAGGTTTGGTTTTATTATCGAAATCGATTCATCTTTTGTTTCTGATAGTCTGTCATTAGTGTACTCAGGATGCCCAAAGTCAAAAATAACCAAGTTTCCTGCATGATTAGTGTGCTTGGTTAATGCCTGTTGTGGCCTGGATGACTGAACCATGTGGGGCCAAGGGTGAGGCTGCAAGCGGATGGCCCTGGAGAACTTACCTCATCACACCCAGCACAGCGGGGCTTCTCGCTGTCACAGTAATGTCTGCCACAGTACAGCTTCCCATTCTTCCAGAAGTAAATCATGTCGACCAGGAGTTCACCACAGGTGCTGCAGATGAAACAGGCTGGGTGCCAGAGTTTGTCGTAGCCAGCCCTTTCAGCATAGACAGCTGGGTCTCCTTCCTTCATGATGTCTCTGCAGCAGTAACAGGACTAGGACAAAGAACCCAAACACGATCGTCAGAGCACGGGCATAGCGCACCCTGCATCAGGGCTAACCCAGCAAACCCGCATAGCGCACCCTGCTTCAGGGCTGACCCAGCGACAGCTTCAAGAGATGCCATTTCTACGGAAATGACAATAAAGAACGGTCATGTCCATGGGATAGAATTGCTCAGCTTCTTTCTATCCTGACCAACTTGTTTTGTCCTATGTACCACACAGCACTGTTTCCTGCAAGGAAGTCACTCATAGGGAAAATAGTATTTTTCACCTCAATTTTATGTCAATTCCCTCAGACACGATTATCTGAGAGCTGTTAGTAAACTTTTTTTTTTTTTTTTTTTTTTTTTTTTTTTTTTTGTTAAAATTTTTTTTTTTTTTTTTTTTTTTTTTTTTTTTTTTTAGGATTAAACTGTATTAATAGATGTGCTAATTGTATCTCTAAGAAATACTTTACAGTCAGCTCAGGCCTGATGCTTTGTTCATCTGTATCGTGATTCTCCTGTACCTTCAAGTCATTACAAAACAAACAAACAAAAATCTCTCTGACAGAGACTTTTAAAACTCCTTGTCAATACACTGCATACATCAAGTCTGAATCTTAGGTATGGTCTCACAAGCAAAACTAGATTAACCTAAGCATAATTTATTCTTATTTCTGTGTAAAGATAAGCTCTCTGATTGGATTTGAGGCCTGCTCTATAAGAGGGAAATTCGTACTTGTTACTAGAAACCCAGTCAAAACCCAGGGCTCAGGAGGCCTTAGGGAAGAACTTACTACTGTTGTTCAGCTGTGTTGGCAGAGCCACAAACTGCCTTCTAAATGTTCATGTTTATGATCATAAACAAAGGCTATCCTCAGCCTTAATCGGGATGAATGCAGAGACTCGGGCTGCTCAGGCAGCTGAGGATATGTGATGATGAGTGTTCAGCCCAGCACTTGGAAGGAGGGTAGAAAGACTATTAAGAACTGGAAGATATAGAGAGAAGGGCTGTGGAATGTTGTCTTCTGGGCATGACTCTGCCATAGCAATCAGGTATCAGAGGCAGTCTGCTCTAGGCCTGCACAAGACTGGGCCAGTCAACAGTCAATCATGCATTGGGGAGGGCTCACAGGGGCCATGTCCCTCCTTTACTGAATGAACTATTGTTACTGATGGATTCTGGGAATGGGCACCCACTGGTAAGCCCATAGGCTCCAATGCATAGTTCCAATCCCATGGCCTTGGTTAAACTCAGTGGATCACAAAACAGAAATACATGAACCTAAGAAAGGGACATGGGAGCTTAACAGGAAATGGGAGGAAGATGAGAGGGATGGGAGCGACCAGAATGTGTTATATATGTGTGTGAAATTGTCAAAGGACAAACTGAGTCAAACGATACAGGAACAAAATCTTCATCCATTAATTGGTTAATTAACACAAATTATAAACAGATGCTGGGGCTACAGAGATGGCTCAGCAGCTAAGAGCACCAGACTGATCTACCAGAGAACCTGGCTTCAATTCCCAGCATGCGCACACATGGTAAGTCACAATTATCTGTATCTCCAGCCACTGGGCATCCCACAACCTCTTCTGGTCTCCATGGGCATTGTGGGCATGTAGTACACACACATATGCGAAGGCCAAAATCATTCATACACATAAAAATAACTAAATAAAGCATTCAAAGATTTTTAATGACAGATGGTAGATGGGTATGTTATATTCAAGTAAGAGAGCAAAAGCTAGTGTCAACTACTGTGAGCACATAAACTTAAATTATTCTTCATAATTATCAGAAAATTTGGCTTCCAATAGACATCCCAAACAGAATAACTCTCTGAAGTACATCTAAACTGAATTCTCACTCATTTTCTTTCCCTCGCCTACTCCTGTTAGAAACAGAAGAATGTATCCCTCCCCACAAAAAAAAAAGTTCTAAGAAAGGAAACGCTATACAAGCACAACACAGGCCAACAGTGTGCCATGACTACTCACATAATGGGTCTTCTTGGGCTGGTCAGCCACAGCTGTCGAGGTATTTCTATCCCCAGCAGGGCTGTACACCTTGTCACCCTGAGCATTCATCTCCAAGGGAAGCTTCACGTCACCCACTCCCAGAGCCTCACTCTTGTACTTCTTCACAAACTGCTCCATCTCCTTCACCTCTTTGGGTGACAACTCATGGCACTTAGAAGGGTCCTGGTCATGTGCAGGCAGCTGCTTGGCCAGCTGCTTCTTCCGGTACTGTGCCCCCTCCGAGCCGGCCACTGGCTGCTTCTCCTTAGGCAGCATTTGCATGTACTGCCGGGCCTGGAGCACGGGGAGACCAGTGTTAAATGCGATTATTCAACCTTTTATAGCACACTCCAGAAACAAGTTGACTCAAGAAGAAGGGAGTCTCATCCTTTTACCATAAACATCGAGAGATAGTAAAGCATAAAAAAACAGGTTTCTATGAAAATAATGAACACGTTTTCTCCAGGAAATTAACCCCCTATCTCCAGTTTTTAAGAATATTTAGATTGACTACTATTCAGTTGTGCTAAATCAACAGATTTGTGGCCATAGGGAAGATTTGGGGTAGATCATTATGAGTACGTGTGGATCAGAGGCTTCTTCAAATACAAACATCATTTGTAGATTTACTATAAAGACCTAACTGACGCTCCAATGCTTCATCTAGTTGTCATAATAATGGAAGGCGTGCAAAATCACATTTTTTGCCTTTTATAGTAAAAGAAATATAATGTTGGATCATTTTTGTCCAGTTCTAAATAAAGTCAGAAATTCTATTTACTCTTTCTCATCTTAGAAAAAGTCTTCAGAGTACACCAGAAAATTGGGAAGACTGATATAAAGCACCCAATTTTTTTTCTAGTTTTCACATAATTACTAAAATTGTTAGAAAAAATTGCTTTAAAAATAAGGTAAATTAGGTAATCAAACAAGTCTATGAGTCATCTAGGCACATATTTTAAAACATAGTAATAGGAACCTAAAGTCAGTATAATGGGAACTCAAGAAAAACAACAGATGTGTGATGGTGGATTGTGTTACAAAAGAAACTGCCCTAAATAAACAGTCTAGTAACAACAATAACAACAAAAAGCCTCCTCCCCTCCCTGCCCGCCCCCAGTACTTACCAATGCCTGGTTCTGGACCGGGGGAGCCCACTCATAGGTAACAGTGTTGATGGAGACATTCTTCTTGGCCGCAACTGGATTGGTCAGTATCATGACATTGCGTTTATACATGGGAATCCCATCTGACTTCAGCTTGGCAATCAGGGTGGTGTACTTGGTGTCTTCAAAGAGTCTCCCCACTTTACGATCCTCCTCAGTACTCAAGAGGACATCATGTTCTTCTTGCCCACATTTACAGTTACGGCATATTTTTCTATAATTGGGAGGAAAGCACAAAATGACCAGCTACACCTAATTAGTGATAACTAAGCATGTGCAGTCCTATATGGTTCCTAAAAATACTTTAAAAGGTACTATACAGAATACTATAAAAAAGCAAGTACTTTCTTTCATGGGGAGAGATGAGTACTCATAAACTTAAGAAAGAAAGACACGTGGAAGCACACCCTTACTTTGTAAGACTTTGAAAAATTAGGTTATAAATAGAAATCTCATGCTCAAAATGGCCAGTCTGAGGATCACCCATGTGGTGTTAGTTTCTTACACCTTACTACCTCACCATACATAAAGCTGTCCAAACTATTACAGCAAGAGATTCCACATTCCGTCCCTCGCCCTGTAAGTGGCCTGAGATGACCTGTGAAGATGGTTTGATACTCTCTTGACCCCCAAGACCCTAAAAACCATACAAATCAAGAGGTTCAAATCTTGATGTTCATATTAAGAACACCCTTGAAACTACCCAGGCTATGAAGAGTATGAACATCTGAAAAGCCACCAAGTATCTGAAAGTATCTGATGTTCATATTAAGAACACCCTTGAAACCACCCATACTGAAGAGTATGAACATCTGAAAAGCCACCAAGTATCTGAAAGATGTTGTCTCACGGAAGCAATATGTGCCATTCCAGAGGTATATGATGGAGTTGCTAGGTGTGCCCAGGCCAAGCAGTGGGACTGGACACAGAGTCGGTCACCAAAAAAGAGTGCAAAATGCAGAGAACGATGCCAAACATAGGGGTTTAAATGTAGATTCTGTAATCATTGAACATAACCAGTGAACAAAGCACCTAAGATGCCCCAGTGAATTTACAGAGCTCGTGGCCAGATTAACCCACACATGAGCTCCCCAGCCACACTGAGATGATCCTCACAGACAAGGAACAAGTGGACAGAAGAGAAAGATATCCCAGAAGGAACTGAGGAAACAAAAAATCATAACACAGGAAAAATAAATGCAGATAACAGTGAGAGAGAGAGAGAAAGAGAGAGAAAGAGAGAGAGAGAGAGATCCCACATTCTATTCATTACATGTTAAGATTCCATTGTCTTTCTCCTTGCGTGAGTAGGACATTCATATCCTTTACCCCATAAAAGACCATAATCTTACATTTAGGATAGCCTTTCTCAGTTTCCTTTCCTGTTCCAGTTTCAGTTCTCTTCCCTCTCTATTCCTTTCCCCTTCCTTTCTGTTTTTATTTTCTTTCCCCATTCCTTCCTTTTATCTCTTCAAACACTTGTCCATTCCCTGTCCTGTATTCTATTGTGTATAAGAGAAAAATGGCCTAGTATTGTTTCTGGCCAGCCAGGGCTACATATCGACACCATGACTTCAAAATAAGACAAATGAATCAATGATCCTCTGCCCTCAGGATATCTGTTAGAGCCTTGTTCCACCAATCTCTCTAAGTTCCATCAGATATTCACTTATGCAACCTACATGTGTGTCCTTGTGTCAAGCACATGCTTGAGACCAGGACCCAATGAAAACCACAGATTTAGCCTTTGGTTTGTTTGTTTTTGTCTTGTTTTTTGTTTTTTTTTGTTTTGTAAAGACAGGGTTTCTCTGTTGTCCTCTGTTGCCCTGGTTGTCCTGTAACTCACTCTGTAGACCAGGCTGGTCTTGAACTGATAGGGATCCATCTGCCTCTGCCTCCCCAGTGCTGGAATTAAAGGCGTGTGCCACAACTGCCTGGCTTGACCTTCTAAAATCTACTTCCTGATGAGACGATTAGACAGACACACATAGACATATTTTAATTGCATTCACGCCAGGAATGGAAAAACAGGCTACCATGACAGTAGAATTTTTACTTCAACCTGGTAAGGACTCCAAAAGAAAGTGATGTTTAAGTTTAGACCTGAAAGCTGCATAAACCATAAGTGTGGGGGTGTGCGAGTGTGTATTTGTGGTTGGGGAAAGGAAAAGAAATGGCTCCCAACACACCAATAGAAAGAGAAGTATTTGCAGTGGTCCTAAGTTGGGAAAGAGATATTCACTTAGGTCCCATACCAGATAAGGCTGGTTGTGAGTAAGTGAGAAACTGATGAGGCTGGAGAGCAAGATACCTGCAGGCATGCCATGCAGAGTTGGACTTTCATTACAATAGCACTTATATGTCACTGAATCACAGAAAACTAGTAACACGAACACATCTACTCTTTCAAATATCACACAACTTACCATGCAGAGACTGGATTAAGGATAAAACATACTTGAGGTCTGCATGTTAATTGTGCATTGAGTTATCAGTGTGGTTTTTAATAACATCAGTACTGTGGCTACTTTTAATGTAATTCACGAGTTTGGTGGTCTTTGCAGCAGTCCCGGTTAGATATGCTACAGCTGGAAGTCGGGCGTTAAGCAGTAGAGCCCAAACAGAGAGGTTTCAGATCTTCTTACAAGCAAATCTAACTAAGCTTTGTGGTTGATTTAGGCTTAGTGATATACACTCAAACAAACAAACAAACAAACAAACAAACAGATTTTGGTAATAAAAAAGATGGTAAGATGAATGTAGAATTCATCAAGAATTAAAATATAAAAGAGAAATATATTTGAAATAGGGGGGTCAGAAAATTTGAAAGGCAGACTGTCTTCAAAACTAAACTATTGTGGTATTTGGATTGCCTGTGATATGGAATAACGTTAACAAGCAGACTGCAAGACACAACAAAAAGTGTTAACTATTCTGGTAAAACCAAACCAAACCAAACCCTCAGGGAGCAATACTTAATGTAAAAATTGTCAACCACCTTCCCCTCCTGGGGAAAGCATGGCATGGGAGACTGAGAACCAGAAGGTGTGTGGCAAAGGACCAACTTGGAAAAGGTGACAGAGGAATTGGAAAGGGGCAGGGGAATTCTGTGGTATTAAAGTTTAAGCTCTGATAGAAATACAGGGCAATGGAGTTGAGCATTTCAAAAAGCATTGTGTGACCTTACATCGAACTGGAGGTCACTACAGCCACAAATTAGCATTAGATCATTAAATGTGTGCTAGATTACACAGATCACTAACAAAACATTAAATCTTAGATGCTCATACCAGAAAGGATGAAAGGTCAATTACTGGGGGATGCATTCCATCCAGGAAATGGTGGGGAAAGGCCAAATAACTCTAAATCACAAGGAATAAAAATAAAGAGTGAGAGGGGAAACATCACGTGAATGCCCACTTTCCATTAGGGATAGCATCAACGTCTCTCTTGATCACCACTGCTTTTTGGATCTCGCCATGAGACTCAGGATGCTGCCCCTTTCCCTTCACCATCTGACATCCACGAGGGATGTGGAGAGCTTGGAAGGGGTGTAGGGATGAGAATCACAGCTGGTTTCCACTCTCTTAATAACATCTTTCTGTTTTGGTTTTGTAATAAATCATAGCATGACTGTCAAAAAACAAAAAAACAAAAAAACAAACCCAGAACACCTAACCCCAATCCACCAAACATTGAGCAACTTTTATAGTCAGGAAACTAATTTTAAGATTTGAAGGTAGAATTCATACTGTCCTGTAGGTACTCTTCAGCGCAGTGAGAAGAAAAATCAATGAAACACAAGCAATGAGCATTCATCTGAAAGCAAGCAAGCATTCTGGAGTTATGCCCTGATGCTAGGTCTGGTCACATAAAGGTACAAAGCATTAGCAGAAAGAAGATTCTAACAGGTTTTCTGCTTTAAAATTAACACTTTATACCAGCACCAGGAAAAACTAAGCACTAAGCATCAAATAGATATCTTTGCCAAATAACAAATTCTTAAATAATTATATGTTCTCATGTCTCCAGTTTCCTTAAAATTCTTTCTAGCACATAACCTGGAAACACTAGGTATGCCATGGAGAGAAGAGAACAAGAGAAGGAGAGGAGAGAGAGAGGAGAGAGAAAAGGATGGGGCAGTTAGGGGGGGCATGAACGGACACATAGCTTTTCTTGTACACATATTGCTCAGGAAACTTTATTTGGTAAAAATCTGTGGAGACTTAATGTGTTTTATTACAGCTATAAAAGCTCCTTTCTTCCATCTGGTTACCTCATACCCCCATCTAGTGGAAAGGATCAGACCCTTCTACAGTGTGGTCTTTACTTGCCTGCAGTTACCCAAGGCAATTATGTTCTGGTGCTTGGGTCAAGATTACAATGATAACTGCTAGAGAGGGAATGGGGGGGATTTTAACTCTCAAGGCAAGTAAACAGACCTTTATCAGGCCGGGAACTCCAGCAATCAGCAAAGTGACTGCTTATAGGAACAGACATATAAGGTGACTCCGACCTTGGATTCGGTGACGGAGGTTTGCAATGGTAAATATGTGTACCATAAAATAAGGAATTTGGGGATTCTTTTAATGACCAACAAAAGACCCAATAAGGGAAATGATACTTGATGGTTTGTAAACAAGAGTTTTGGCAAACTGTAGGTACAGTTACATTTACTATCAAAGTACCAAGTAAAAAGTCTCACTGACCAAGAACACAAGAGCTACCTTTACAGTAGTTTTAGCACATGGCTTGGTCATCCCTTGGAGGATTCATTTTTTAATGAAGCCTCTTTTTCCTACCAACCCCTTTACCTACACACTATACTGTTGTCAAGCAAATCGTTAAACAACATGCTGACAGCTATGGTGAACAAGAAAAGAAGTAAGAAATTGTTGCATCATCCTGATGCCCAGTTTCCTAAGTGGAGAGACCCCATTATTGATTAATACACAGTTTTAAATTGGGACTGCTGTCCAGCTCTTCTGCACTTCTGCCCCCAAGGGATCATCTTAGGACTGAGCACTTGGTAAAATGTGACCCAGAAAGGGCAGGTGGATGGCGTCACTGCAGCAGCTGGAGTGACCATATCCTCTCAGCCCTCCCGACCACAGATCCACAAGGGATAAGCCACCACTCCAGCAAGCCACCTACAAAACCTGCATAGGTGCCAGGATCTCGATATTGTGGAGATCTTTGTTTCACTAGTTAAAA